TCAGATTCAGCAGAATGCTCATGCTCAGTTTTTATACTCTTTTGTGCCTTTTTAGCTTCTTTAGTGTCACCCATGTAAACTGTATTTGTGTTGATGAAATTTTCATAAGAAGTTGAGGGCGGTGTCCAATCCAATTCCTTTTTCTGCCTTTTCCGCTTAGTTTTTGTTTTAGCTGAAAGCAAAAGTCGTATACAAGAGCCGTGTCAGGCATAACTCGATAATTAATAGTATAATATATATATAACGACAAAGTAAATCTATCTACACAGACATAAAAAAGAAAAAGAAGTGACCTTAGTATTATCCTGACACGCCTCTGTATCGAAATTCGCAAAGCTACCCTAATGCTCCTAACATGAAAAGCCACATTCGAAAATATAACCCTACCTCCGAGATAACCTTTAATTTTTAATCGACTAATCATTGTCCACAAACACTCACCTTCCATATTCAGTTCAACCTCAGATTCCGGTTCAGATTCTTCCAAATCCGACTCTTCCGATTCATCGACGTTCATACCACTAGCACCATCATTTGCTGTCCCAGCGTCTCCGCCAAATGGACATTTTCTAAATATCGAAAAAAAAGATAATACAAGCTTACATATATATGTACATTGATTTATTACCCTCCAGCGGCTCCAGCAGGCATCTTAAATTCCCCTGGGGGCACTTTGCCTCCAAATTTTTCGACAAATTCCTTTACAAACTGCAGCTGCGGCAAATTAAGCACAGTTGGATTCTCAGATACAAAATTTATGAAAATTTTCAACTTTTCCAAGTCGGCGTGTGATAAATTGGGTAAAGCCATATTTTACGTCGCTTTGTTTAATCTTTCCAAGTATCTCAAAATACAATTGGTAGGGTTATTACTGATTCGACTACTTTGAAAATCGTATAATTTGCACAATAGCAATGTACTTCTCACTTTTCCGATGCTTTTTAATATTTTTGGAATAATTATTTTCTCTAAAATGTCGGCAATCTGATATCCCGAAACTTCTTTTGGATAGCTTATGTGCAGGGTTGCTAGTGAAAAAATTGCAGCATTGCCAGAAATAATAGTTTTTGTTACAGTGCACTAACTTGGAGGCTACACGTATTAAGAACTTGAAAGCATAAGATGAATCAAAAGAAATTGGCTGACGTTTATAATTTCAGCTCCATGTTATTTTCTTTGATATAAGCCAAAATTAAACAAAAGAAACGAGGACCAATCATACGTTCCCACGACAGTCGGGTCTACGTAACCGGAACGACCCAGATTTATATCTGGTCAAGGACTGTCACTCCAGCAACACTCCCCAAAATGTCTTTGGGGAATTTGTATGCTGCTACAACAACAACAACAGGACCAATCATAAAGATCATTTCTCCTCTCTGTTGCCAGACAACCGATTACGGTCAGATCGCCCAGACATGTGACCAGTCAAGAATGATAGAATACAAGATTGCGCCGTCCTGGGCGTTGACATTTGTGTACCACAAGTAAACAAAGAATAGAGCGAAAAGAAGAACGAGTTGAAACTGCCAAAGCAGTTCACTTTACAGCGAAAAACGTGTTTTAATTTTGCTAAATGCGAAAATATTGCATTTTTCACCTAATCTATTAGAGAACAGTGAACATTTTAGTGCACTCCATTGCTTTGCAATTGAGGCTGCTTCAGCAAACGTTTTAGTGCACTCCATTGCTTTGCAATTAAGGCTGCTGCAGAAAACTGCAGCAGCATCTCTGCGGGATTGATTAGTTAACTTGCTAATGGAGGCTGCGTGGAGCAGAAACAAAATCATTGTGAGGAAATGCTGTTAATATAATAATAGAGAAACATTTCGGGAACATTAATGCCGTGCCCTATGTACACAAAATGCAGCGATTCGTCCCAGCGCTACACTTGCATCTACGCTTCTTGCNAATTGGCTGACGTTTATAATTTCAGCTCCATGTTATTTTCTTTGATATAAGTCAAAATTAAACAAAAGAAACGAAGACCAATCATAAAGATCATTTCTCCTCTCTGTTGCCAGACAACCGATTACGGTCAGATCGCCCAGACATGTGACCAGTCAAGAATGATAGAATACAAGATTGCGCCGTCCTGGGCGTTGACATTTGTGTACCACAAGTAAACAAAGAATAGAGCGAAAAGAAGAACGAGTTGAAACTGCCAAAGCAGTTCACTTTACAGCGAAAAACGTGTTTTAATTTTGCTAAATGCGAAAATATTGCATTTTTCACCTAATCTATTAGAGAACAGTGAACATTTTAGTGCACTCCATTGCTTTGCAATTGAGGCTGCTTCAGCAAACGTTTTAGTGCACTCCATTGCTTTGCAATTAAGGCTGCTGCAGAAAACTGCAGCAGCATCTCTGCGGGATTGATTAGTTAACTTGCTAATGGAGGCTGCGTGGAGCAGAAACAAAATCATTGTGAGGAAATGCTGTTAATATAATAATAGAGAAACATTTCGGGAACGGCTTTGCCGTGCCCTATGTACACAAAATGCAGCGATTCGTCCCAGCGCTACACTTGCATCTACGCTTCTTGCATCTTGACGGCTGTCGCAATTTAACACACATCACTTCATTGTATTAGTTTTTACGCAGTCTTGGACTCAAATATCACTCACATATTGCAAATTAACATAATTTTAACTGATTTTTCACTTATAATTCATATTTCTCTTTCGCTGATTTGTAAACAAAGGTTTATTTACAAGTTACCACAACTNCCAATCATAAAGATCATTTCTCCTCTCTGTTGCCAGACAACCGATTACGGTCAGATCGCCCAGACATGTGACCAGTCAAGAATGATAGAATACAAGATTGCGCCGTCCTGGGCGTTGACATTTGTGTACCACAAGTAAACAAAGAATAGAGCGAAAAGAAGAACGAGTTGAAACTGCCAAAGCAGTTCACTTTACAGCGAAAAACGTGTTTTAATTTTGCTAAATGCGAAAATATTGCATTTTTCACCTAATCTATTAGAGAACAGTGAACATTTTAGTGCACTCCATTGCTTTGCAATTGAGGCTGCTTCAGCACACGTTTTAGTAGACTCCATTGCTTTGCAATTAAGGCTGCTGCAGAAAACTGCAGCAGCATCTTTGCGGGATTGATTAGTTAACTTGCTAATAGAGTCTGCGTGGAGCAGAAACAAAATCATTGTGAGGAAATGCTATTAATGCCGTGCCCTATGTACACAAAATGCAGCGATTCGTCCCAGCGCTACACTTGCATCTACGCTTCTTGCATCTTGACGGCTGTCGCAGTTTAACACACATCACTTCATTGTATTAGTTTTTACGCAGTCTTGGACTCAAATATCACTCACATATTGCAAATTAACATAATTTTAACTGATTTTTCACTTATAATTCATATTTCTCTTTCGCTGATTTGTAAACAAAGGTTTATTTACAAGTTACCACAACTGTCAAAATCGGCAAAACCAAAGTAGCGGTACCACTGACGGCGCCACCTTTGTTCGTTGCATCGTGGTGACCAGTCATATGACCGGCAGGTGTCTTGTAGGCGTCGCTTCGACAGCTCGTCAGCTGTTTCAAATAATCAAAATTATGCGAAATAATTTTCTTTTTTATTCAAATTCGGGCAATAAGTATCTCGCTTGCGTGACAACACAATCGACGGAATCAAAATCAATAATATTAATACAATAAAACATACCAAAAATATTTTTTTGCAAAAAGTGTGGTGGGTTTTGCATGTTTTTTTTGGAAGAACACTGACCTCTTTTTTATATCAGCTTTAAGAATCTTTTTGTTTCATATCAAAATATTGCTTCTGTCTAAAGCCCTTCGATTTATTCTCATGGAGTGTTCAAAAAGCACGCTGTGCGCCGCACATGCTCACACTCGCACTGGTTGTCACCAGCCCCGCGCGAGCGTAAGAATTTGAAGCCTATAACGTTATACCCAAGGCTCATCTATACAAGGTTACTTGAACAGCTGATATGATATTTTTGTCTCTACATCAATACAGCAGAATGTCATCCAAGACGAAATGTTGTAACTTCAGGATGTCAACAAAATGAAATGGCGAAAATTATCTCCTATTTCCTTTCGTTTTGAAACTATGTTGTACCAAAAAGCAATAGCAAAATACCCGGGGCTTTTACTTACATGCAATTGCTACCACCTTATATGGATACCCCTTGGTTAAACCGAACTCCGCATTTGCCCCTATGTGGCTGCGGACGCACGTACATGAGCGTATTTGCAAGTAGCGTGCGACTGTCACTAGGTATCAGAGACACGTTTTTCGAGTATCAGTCTTGCGAGTGCCTTTAATAATCATGGAGGAAGAATTCAATGAAGGCGTGCAAAGTTAAAAATATCTATACGACATAAATATATATCCATAAAAATCAAATTTAAAGATTCAATCTGGAGACGAATTACTGACGAAATAAATGACAAAATCACTAAAAGCTCATGTGTGCAAATGCGAATGCACACGAGTCGACCAATGTCAGCGCAGCACCGTGAACGGGTGCGAGTGTGAGCATGTGCCGCCCGGCTTAAGAACGCTGAACAGCTCAGTGGGAGCGTGAACGTGAACATTCGTAAATAATCCATTGTTATTCTTTTGCGCGCTCACACACATCTGTCAAAACTTTTTTATTTGACTGGGCATTTGACAGCATTCTTTCTGATTTGTAAAATGTCGCCAAAAAAGAAGGATCACGCTTCTCTGGCCAAATTTGTATTTTCCACCAAAATAAACGATGTTTCTGCTCTGAAGGTTTCTGCGAAGTGAGAAAATATCTGTCAAACTACAAAAGCGATAGCATGCGCGATCTCGCAAACCGCATACGTCGTCACGCAAGCCCGATTTGCCAGCACGTGAAGACGGCCGGTTAATTTCGAAAGGTTTTGGGAAACCCCGATTGAAGTTTGGAATGCAATTTCTCGCGAAGATAGATTTTTCCCAGAGTCTTTGGATATATTAGTTGTTTTTAATGANACCCTAGAGTTTCCCCCAACTACCGTGGGAGCAAATTGGACGCCTTCGTCTACGCTTTATAAATATAAGATATGGAACATTTGTATTAATACATTTAGGAATACTTCATGGGCTAGCATGAGACGCATTAAATCATATTCGATATTGTTCCGTAACACAAACTAAAAACCATTTCGTTTAGAAAACCCGGAAAAATTTTAATATTTCATTATATTTACATATGTACATATACATATACAAACATATATACCTGTACATATATATTTTTATTAACAGTCTGCAGATAAAAATTCTGCCCCTAAAGCTAAACTTTCGAAGTCTGAAGATCCCATTATGGACGCCAATCTTCCAGTATTATATATTGAACACTGCCGCTCCTGAAATGTATTTCGCCGTCGTGCCCTTCAAGTACACGCAGATCTTCTAGAACGTTTGCGCAATTTAAAGCCCGACATAGAACTACAATTGCTCATGAATAACGAACGCCCGCCGCGTCGTGGTTCTTTTGAAATAGCCATTGCTACAAATCCTACCGAAGAGCGCCTAGAGTTGTGGTCAGGTCTAAATCGTACACCACGTGCGCAAAAGTTTCCACCAATTGATGACTTGGCTGAAGCGGCGAGTCGCGCTTTGAATCTTAAATTGGCTGAGGACACGGCATGCGGTAGCAATGCAGCTGATGTTGGTGAACAAAATGGAACATTAAAAGTGGCAGCAAAAAGACGTAAACGATCAAATTAAAAAAAATGTAAATGCATCCGGTGCTAGTAGCATTCATGACCGGTGTTTGGTAAAATCTTTTCTCGAGAAGCTAAGCACTGCGATATTTTTGTGCTCCATGCGCTGCTTGCAGTATATAAAATATTCAAACAAAGTAAGTATATACATACATATGTACTTATGCACGCAAGTGTATAAAGTTCCATAAACACGCATGTAACGAAACCTTTCCTTCTAAGCCCACGTTGGTAGTACTACATTTGAACTTTCTACATTTGCTGAAAAGTGTTCCTGCTGCTCAGCTGCATTCATTCCACTACACCCAAGCGCCATAGAGTTCCTTTAATTCTTGTAACTGTGATTCAGATGGAATCATAATCGGCGCTTCATTACCGACTTTATTCACGAAAAAGTAATTTTTCTTACATATATTTACTTTCAGATTTGAATTTATTTGCAAACATATGCCATTTTCCCCCAATGGCACTTAAAACTGGCATCTATGACTAGAGTTGTTGCAAATCCATTTTAAGGAACACAACTTTACGATATTTACTTTTGCCGTTAAGTTGTCACCATAAATGGACTATGAGGGAACAAATTAGAATATCGTAAATTGTTGCTTTACTTTTGTATACTCAAAAATAAACTGCAGCTTTAAAAAATCTTGTTTTTTTTTTTCATTAATTAAACCTGCCACTAATGCCGTTTGATTACATGGCGCGCAGGAATGACCTTCAGCTGCAACTTCTTCGTTCGCGGTATCCTCACCACTCTGCTTATATAAATCAAGCAAATCTTGTAAATCCCGTTGGGCATCTATGGACTCTTGCCCTTCCATGCCTTTGCCTGTGTGCCAGTGCAAATGTGCTTTACGCCTCAACATAATACCGCTGCCATCTAAAATTTGCTGCAAGAGCTTATAAATCGCTGACATTTTAAGTAAGTGTGGTGGTATGTCGCAAATAGCTGTCTTAATATTACTGGGAATCTATTCCACGAAAGTGCTTAGGTTCTTGTTGCGTACATTTGTCATTAGCTAATCGACCTCACGCGGTGGCATCCGACCACGAAAAATACCCACTGCAGTTAAAAGCTTACCATGCCGTAAATCAACTGCGCATAGTAAATTATTGGATGAGAAAATTTGTTGTACCAACTCACCAACCGTGCCTTGGGTGAATTCCTTTTGCTTACATCTAACAAAGCGGTGCAAATCCAGGTATGAGGAAATGCGACTGCGGAAATGGAAATGGTAATTTTTTGGATTTTTTCGATTAGAAATCTTATACGAATTTTAGTTTACATCTTATATTTTGCAAAATTTTATATTGAAAACATTGCGTGCCTGAATTTGCTTTGAAAAAATATGTATTATTGACTGATTTATAGCTGGGTATTTTGTGAGACAGAAGAACATTTTTAATAAGTTTTGCTAAAGTCGTTTGGTGCACCTTTTGAATTATTTTAATTTCAAAAAGGGTGATCGTTTTATTTCATAATTTTTGATTTTTTTCTTTAGTTTGCTTGTACTTGTATAAAGGAAATCAAAAAATTTGTCTGTATCGACTGCTGAGNCGATTATGTTAAAAAAGGGTGATCGTTTTATTTCATAATTTTTGATTTTTTTCTTTAGTTTGTTTGTACTTGTATAAAGGAAATCAAAAAATTTGTCTGTATCGACTGCTGAGTGGAAGATCGACCTATCTCGGCAGCCAGTTCGAAAACGCCCTATCTCAAAACACTTTTCAAGAACGCCCTATTTCGGAATTTTATTGAAAAACACTATCTCAGAATTTGGTTGAAGAGCCCGATATGTCAGAATTCGGTTCAAAAATGCCCTATTTCACTTCAAAATGTATTGAAAGTGTGCTGGTCTAGGGCGTTTTTGAATCGGCAGCTGAGATAGGGAGTTTTTAAAACGAATTCTGAAATGGAACGTTTTTGAAAATCTTTTTTAAAATAGGGCGTTTTCGAACTGACGGTCGAGATGGGTCGATCTTCCATTTAGTAGTCGGTATGTTTATGGGAACGTTTTACGAAACATGGAATAAAATATTATGCTATTGTTGCTCCGAAAAACCCAAAGAAGGCAATATATTGTAGTTTCAGACATATTATTATTGAACGAAATGCATATTATTGAAGTCTTACAATATATGGAAAAAATTCAATTACTTAAATGTAAATTTTTTTCGCAAAGCGGTTTTACACACACAATGGCTGCAGATCTAAATCAACGACCTCCATACCCTTTCCTTTTATTTTCGTCTCTTCTCCATCATTGTCACATATGCTGTCACTGTGTGTACTATAATTTAGATAAATGTACTGGTATGCCATATTTACCATTCTCAAACGAGCTACTCATCCTTTTTCCCAGCTGATAATGAATTGAACAAACGGTTGACTTCATTGGCCACCAAATTGTCCAATACAACACCGTTGGCATCAATGAAGTTGGCACACGATTTGGTACTGCTTACTTCCCGTTCACCCTTGGCATCTTTAACAGAGAAGAATAACGAATATTTGTCATCGTATTTCTTCATGTCGGAGCTTGCTTCCCAAGTGCGTGGTCCATTATTGCCGTTCTTTTGTACTGCAACAACAAACGTGCCCTTCTCGCGGAATGTGGTGTGTAAAGTGAGTATGCCCATTAGCAAGAAATAGGCGATGACGCTAAATAGCAATACTGGTCGCGACTCGGGAAAGGGATGCGTGTAGTCCCAGCCATGAGCCAACACAGCAACACCCACGGCCAGTGCGCATAGCACCAGACGCGTATTGATCAAACCAAATTGTTCTTTCAGTTGCGGTCGATCGCATAAAAGGCAATTCTTTACTGCATCATCTAGTGCATGTTTTACAGCTGAACCATCCCATTTGTTTATTTTTACAACCTGTAAAATTAATTTAGATCAAGTTTAGTGCAGTTATATGTATGTACATATGTTATTTGCGGCGCCTGCGAGTTGACGTGTACAAAAAAAATAAGATCTGTACGAGTCTCCATGGAGGTAGAACCATGCCATAAAATACTTTTGACTCACCTCAATTTCAGGCAGTGGCTTTTCTTCCTTTTTATTGGTCATTTGAAAGCTTAATAACTCAACAACTCGAAAAATGCAAAAATTTCTGTGGCACAGCGTACAATTGAGGACACGACAACAAAAATTTGCCGCTTGACAGATCTCAACGTGGTGTGTTCAGTGATTGCTAAGGTGAAAAGCTGTGTTTATTAAGTACACGCGATTAGGGTCGTATTTTGAATTGTAGTCGGAATGTGGAGAATCATAAAAACAAGGAAGTGGTTTAATTTTGTTATATGTACATTTCCAGCGGAAATTACGATGACTTGCCTTCATCATATAAATGAATTAACTATAAATGGCCTTATTCATAAAAAATAAAGTAGGTTTAAAGAGCTTTATAAATTGACGTTTCCATACATTTTTCAATTTATAAACCTTTTATAAAGCTCCTTTATTTTTTATGAATAAGGCCAAAAGTATATATGTATGTATACATATTATGTAGATGAAAAAACTAAAAAAAATATTTGAACGANCATTTCCAGCGGAAATTACGATGACTTGCCTTCATCATAGAAATGAATTAACTATAAAGTATATATGTATACATATTATGTAGATGAAAAAACTAAAAAAAATATTTGAACGAAAACAAATGCTTAGGGGTAAGCTATCATTATATTCTGAATATCTTGCTTGCTTATTTGTAGTACACGTTTGTATAAAATTAAATAATGCGGTTTAGAGTCTTAATTGATGGAATAACTTAGTTTCTCGATTTTTATCACTTATCCTTATAATGCCTTCATTTGCGCAAACAATTCATCTAAATCCACATTAGAAGTTGCGGCAACTGTGGGTTCATCTGTCGCTATATTATCAGGTGCATCATATGCTAGGCGCAAGCCCGCAGCAACATCACTACCAGCCATTACTGAGGTTGCACCTCCGGCAGCTGGCGAATCATCCACCAATTCAATGCCCCATTCATTTGTTTCGTGCAGTGGCGCATCATCTACTACAACACTTTCTTCCACAGCAACTTTTGGGCGTGCCTGGTATTCCTTTTGACGTGCCTGGCAGTGTCGGTCATCACATTGAGTATTTGGTTTCAGACTCATGCGAGGAAAGAAATCATTCATTGCATTATAACCCAAATAGTCCGATACTTCACCGAAATTGAGCAAATACTTGAGTGTATTTTGCACTAAAATGCCCGCTGTTATACCCATTGTAGTGGGCAGTGAAGCGGCACATACTCCTTCACGTTTCAACGTTTTCTCGTCAATATTTTCCGCCACCACTAAGGGGGGAGCGCAACCAAAACATGCAGTTTCACCTGGGCGTATGAATTGTATGTGTCCTGATACCGCATTCTCGGAAACGCCAGATTCGAACCAATTTAGACCCAACTCATTACATGCAGTATTGATTGCCATACGAGCTTCAAAGTTATCAACGCAGCTTAAGACAAGATCAACTGGCGTTTTTGGCTGAAGGCCACCATGAGATATTGTATTTAGGAATTTATCGAACGACTCCACAGTAGTTATGTTATAGTTGTGCGTCTCAATGCGTACATCGGGATTAATGAAGGTTAGAGTACGCGCTGCAGCCTCCACCTTAGATAGACCAGCCTGGTCGGGGGTGAAAAATAACCGATTCATGTTGGCTAACTCTACTTTGTCGTAGTCGAAGAGTATAAGTTTTCCGATGCCACATCTGGTATATAGAAACATTTCAAAAAACATGCATGGATGCAGGCAATAGAAAACACACTGACCTTGTCAACATATCTGCCGTAACGCTTCCTACGCCACCAACGCCCACTACAGCAACGGTTTTCTCACGTATACGCTCATATTCCTTAACGATCCCCATACGCTGAAGTGCCATAAGGCGACTATAGGGATTGGAATCAACCACTTCCGCGGACATTTTTTCGATGCGCTCTCGTGCAGCTTTTGACGCATTTCTTTGGTGCTCTAATTCAACTTTTAGTTTTAGTTCGGCGATTTTCGCCTGCAATTTTTCGATGCCAGACATATTCAATTACTTTTAATTGCTATTTTAATTCGAGTTGATATCCAGATTAGATATGGAATTTGTTTGCGTGTCACTTTCGCTGGCTTGTGTCAAATTGAGCAGCTGTTTATTTGTTTTATTATGAATGTTTCCGTAAAAGTGTATGATGAAAGTCACAAAAAAGAATAGATAGGAAGCGGAAATGCAGACGTTTGTCATAATAAAACGGAAATCGGATTAAATTTCACAGCAACTGATTTCAATGTGAAAATAAAATAGACGCTTGTGGCAATTAAAATTGCACAGCGTTAATTGAGCTATACCATAGCTATACATGAAATTTATTTAGGTATTTTTTTAATTTCACCATGCTCGTGATCAGAAAATAACAAATAGGGTATTCACACAGCGTTTAGATGACCTAAAATAAAATAAAAATTATTTTGCTATGCTCAAAGAGGGAAACGTGGAGGCAAAAATGTGAGTGAATAGAACCACTGACCGTTTGATTAAATGCATCATAATCAGTCAAAAAGTTAATTTTAGAATTTTTTGTTAGTTACAGCATTTCAGGCATTTCAGGTGACGATATGTATGTACATGTGATTTCAAAAGTATTTTCAAGTGTATTTGTATTTTCGAAATATATGTATATCGTAAATGTTTTTGCAAAACCGCCCATCGACCAATTGCAAAATCGCGTATCTTACGACACACAAATTTTACAGGAGAGCGAAAAAACGGGGTTTCTTTGAAGGCGGGATTTTCTTAAGCTATTATTTTACATATCTGTTGTGTTAATTAGGTGTGGAACAAACCTAATATTTAAATTTTTTTTTTNGGGTATTCACACAGCGTTTAGATGACCTAAAATAAAATAAAAATTATTTTGCTATGCTCAAAGAGGGAAACGTGGAGGCAAAAATGTGAGTGAATAGAACCACTGCCCGTTTGATTAAATGCATCATAATCAGTCAAAAAGTTAATTTTAGAATTTTTTGTTAGTTACAGCATTTCAGGCATTTCAGGTGACGATATGTATGTACATGTGATTTCAAAAGTATTTTCAAATGTATTTGTATTTTCGAAATATATGTATATCGTAAATGTTTTTGCAAAACCGCCCATCGACCAATTGCAAAATCGCGTATCTTACGACCCACAAATTTTACAGGAGAGCGAAAAAACGGGGTTTCTTTGAAGGCGGGATTTTCTTAAGCTATTATTTTACATATCTGTTGTGTTAATTAGGTGTGGAACAAACCTAATATTTAAATTTTTTTTTTTAATTATTTTGCATTTGTGTTTCAAATACTTTTTGTGTAAGGTACTTGTTTTATGTATTTAAATATTAGGTTTGTTCCACACGAGCCCACGGAATCCCGCGAGCGCCCAAAACAGCCCCGAAAGCGTTCCTCGCATTAGAAAAATGGGTAATAGAGAGCGAATACAAACGAGTGGAACGCATTTTTGGTTCGTAAATATTTTCTTCTTCGTGTCCGAGATAGCTCGGACTTTTTTTCACATAAAATCATCATTTAGAGCTGATTTGTTGATTCTGGGCAGTTTTGGCACGTGTTGACACATTTTTGACACTTGTGAGAGAGTAACTTACTTTTACGTTCTAATTACCGAAACAGCCCGGAAAGCGTTTGGAACAAAGCTATTATTTTGCAAGTATTTTTAATATTTCTGGCTATTAATATGCTGGACACCTGGACAATGCGGCTTCATAGGTAACGAGGCCGCCGACTAACTTGCTAGGGAAGGCTCATCCTCTGTACTTGTGGGACCGGAATCCTTTTATGGACTCAGTTGATCCTCCTCCAGACTCATAACTCAAATGTGGGTAAACTCAGAACGCAGTAAGTATTTGGGGAGAGGTAGTGGGTCTTACGGCTCTATTCTCTATCACTGACAAATTCTTGTCACAGTTTTTATTACGGAAAAATATGTGAAAATGTTTAAAATTTGTCAGTTAAAAAATGTTTGTTACCGATACAGAATTGGGCTATTAGACAGGCTAGACTTTTTGCTTATTCTTTTGGTAGGAAGGATATACATAAATCCTTTAAATAAAGCTAACATCAAGTTGCTTATTGGTTGCTTAGCCGGTTATAATCACCTGTGCTCTCATATGCACCGAATTGGCGCATCCACATAGGCGGATTGCCGTCTTTGTCATGAAGAGGTGCAGACGTCAGCGTACATTACTCTGTGCAACAATTGCAGGGTCGTTGTCTGGGAGTGGAATGATTTCAACTCAGGATAAAAGTCCAAAACCCATATCTTTTTCCATTCTCACATCAATTTATTTTTGGCCGTATTAAGTTTGGAATTTTTTGCTTGAGTGTTTTTAGAATAAGTGGAGAAAGGGTTAAATCTCTTGTCGGTCTTGGAAATAATTTTGTAGAACATTTTAAATCCATTAGCTCTCTACAGGGTAGAAAGTTTTCAAACTAGAGAAGGTATGTTTATAATTAATTTGTATAGGAATTGACCCGTTCTAATACAAATCCAGTTTATTATCTAATCGTTGTTTAAATAAATAGGAAATTGCAGCTATTACACCTTTACAGCAAGATTTTATTTGCTTTCGTATTTACATATGCACTTCGAATGTGCATTTATGTACATACATACATACATATGTGTATGTACATATGTATGAATATATATATACGTACATATATGAATAGCAGCCATCAAAATTACTACACAGTTACTATTTATGAGCTTGCATCAAAGATAAACTCGGTTGTAAATTTATTTTTAAGAAGAATAATGTGTTTTTAAAAAATGCAAGTAAAAATTATAGCACTTTAGGAGCGGCTATAAATATGTATGCATAAATAATGTGAAATAAAATACCCGAGAGTTGCAGTTCTGTTATCTCTACAAAGCCCAAAATTTTGAATCGCTTTGTCTGGAGAACGTTCCTCAGTAGGTTTCTTGTTACTCCTCGACCATAATAACACCTCGAAACTTGACAGCCGTCTCGCTGGTCCATAGATCACTTATCCGCCTTTTTGACCTGCATTTTCAAACCTTGTCTAGCCATCTCATCGGCTATTTAGTTCACTGCGCCATTGCTAAGTACCCGTGATGCTAGCGATACGCGATCTTCCTAACAATTCTTGTACATATTCACCAATTTGGGTCCTAACGCTTTTAATGTCACTTGGCTATCAACGAATAGAATAAGAGACCTGCAGTCATCATTCCGGAGACTATGACTGCTTGTAAGACCTCCGATTAGAGACCCACGGCGATGCCGTTTTCCATTTTTGAGTAATCGATTTAGTTGCTAATAGCATAATTTCACGTCGTAAGGCCAGCGTCGCAATCTTCCTTAGTTGGAAATTTCCTGAATCTTGAAGTCAAAGTCGCGGAACGACATAAAGTAATCAGTACCGTCATCCAAGTTAGTTTTGATCCTGCTATGTCGTCCTCATTTAAGCTCACCCATCTTCGACTTGTTTCCACAATTTTGATTCCCTTAACTTACACCCAGAAAAAAAGTCAGGTGAATATATTTCTCTCACCACATTGGTTGGTTATATATATAGTTACATTATTTGGTCATAGTTACCCAATCTTGTGTTGAGAGAAATATTTATAGCTGACTTTTTTCTTTTTACGACACCGTTGTGAATACCCCAATTTTATTTCACTTTTAATAACAGCAAGTTTCCAAATTGTTTTATGTACAAAACATATGTATGTATGTATTAGTATCCAAATACACCGATCCTTTAGAAATTTAATTATCTTAAAAATTACGAAATAAATAATCTCACAATGTATGTATGCATGTATGTATCTATGTGTGTAAAGACGACTAAACGAATAAATAGAAAATAATTAATTTAATTAATTCTACTTTAAAACCGTCTTTTTGGTATTTGGTAAAAATGCAGACATAATTCCAGCAGCTGAAATAAAACCATGAAAATTGAATTAATTAAATTTAAAAAAATATTTAATAATTAATGATTTGTAATATTTAACTTACACCACATTACGAAGGTGAGCATGATGAATGGTGGAATGCAGCCGAGAGACATGAAAATGGGGAAAAGTATGTTACCCAATATTGAACCCATGCGACCAAACATCATTGCCAAAGACACAATCATTGTTCTGTAACGAATTTTTTCAAGAATTGAAAGTATGCAACCTTATTATCTACTTCGAACGTTGATTGATTCCCAGTGTTGCCATTGAGAATTTTCAGAAAGTCGCAAAAAAAGTGTCATGGACGAAAAATGGGCCACCACATTATTTTTGCTTTTCTTTACTAGTAGAAGGATAAATCTGTTGAATTTAAAAAGAAAATAGCGGAACAAGCTTTACACAAAACAGGATTTCAAACATACACATAAATCTAGTTGCTGAAAGGAGAAGAATTGCATTTCCTTTAGAGGTTTTAAGTGATGCATTTTTTCGTACTCAATTTCTGATAGAATGGTTCTGTTAACATTTCCTAAAAAAATCTCTGAAGAGGGCAAAAGTCGCACATAATTTTGGAAAAGGGTCGAAAAATCAATATTTTCAAAAAGTTGGGTCAAAGGGTATTGACGCTTAAAAATGGTCAAATTGCCCCTTCAGTCGAACAACGGCAACACTGGTAATTCCAAATAAGTTAAAACCAAAGATCGCTTAACTCACCTCAACGACGTGGGAAATAGATCGACCGATGAGCTGAGAATGGACATAGCTGATATGCTACCCAATGTCACAGAAATTGAAGCGAGAATGGCAGTACTCAAAGAAGATACTGAGAAATAAAGTCCGATTTCGCAAAGTCCTGCGGATACTGTACCGATGGCTGAAAGAAATGATGATCAAACTAGTATAATGATTTCGCTGCCAGTCGATAATATTCCAAAACACTTACTCAGCAATATTTTACTGCCGATGCGATTAACAATAAAACCAGCTAATAGATAGCCTATAAAGCCAGCAACTGCTACTGTTATATTATTTGTATAGGAGGCGGCTGTGATGACCTACATACATACATACATATGTATAAGATAAAGAAGGAAAGTTAGGAGATTAGCAAATGAATGTATGACTAAGTGAGCTATTTTGTAACGAATTTCCGTCATCACTTGTCAAATTTGGCACTACCCTTAGGCTTAGGCGGTCTGACTCCAAATTAAATTTTTTAAGGTTTTGCGGAAATTCGTTCTCTTCGTTCGTGAGCTTCTCACCCTGTCGAAAGTATCAACCAACACCAACCCCCAAACTAAATCTCTATTAACACTCTTTAACTCACCACTTGACATTGTCCCAAAGCCGAATCTATTATTTGTGTATGCGTCTTATTAACGCTGTACTCCAAGATGGTGCACATTGTAGCACTCTCAGTGCCGTGTAGCTGTTCGTATTCCTCAATCGAGGCAAACATTTGTGGCACCCATAGACGCAAAGTATTTTGACTAAAAGAGAAATATTAAAAGCAGGGTTTGAAAATGCTGTAATTTTTTCATTTGATCTACTTTTGCTGTGCTTTGACTTCGGCATGTATAATATCGAAAGCAAAGCAACAGCAATTCGGAAAAAAGCAAATGCTTTGGCTGTCGTTTTGCTGTAAAATTTCGAAAGCAACCAGACAGTTAAAAAACAATATGTGAAAGCACAACGACAGCGCAGCGGCAGCAACGCAACAGCAATTCGACTATCACTTGACCGTGAAACATCAAATTGGCGGAAATATGTATGCATGCACAAATGCACTACCCTTTAGTTGTACTGGTGACAAGAGGCGACCAAAAGCTAACTACGACGATGCATTACCGATTGTTAGGCAATTCGCTAGCGATTGGTAATCGCCAATTTCACACCAGATAATCGCTAGTGAAAGGTCAAGGCAAAGGAATTGATACTGCAAATTTTGTGTGTACTCACTCCTGGCGAGTCAGCGATAATACACCATGCTGCAAAGCTTCATGTGTACAGGACATTCACAGCACAAGAAAAGTGCTATCACAGCAAATCAAAAGCAGTAAATTCAATTTACTATATTGTTTTCAATAAACCGCCGACAAAAAAGCAAAATAAAATTTTCAAAGTCACAGCGAAAGCAAATCAGTTTGAATGAAAATCAAAAATTTCAAAGCGAAGCAAAAGCAAAAATAGTAGTGCTGTTGCTGCTGTGCTGACAGTTTTTCAAACCCTGATTAAAAGTATATATTTATTTTTTATTAGCATGTATGACATACATACGCATTAGGGTGGTTCTTAAAATTTCTACGTAAAGACATCCACGAAAATTTCAAAATTAAATAAAATCACGTTTCGCTACCTGGGTTTGAAAAAAATTTTTGGTTTTTTTTTTAATCGCCAAAATTTAAAAAAATTTGACTTTGTGCAGCTATAACTCAGTGAGTTTATGAATTTACAGAGAACGTATATTTATAGAGAAGGTCCAAGAACTGTGAATGC